CTCGTACTCTTGGCCGGATCCATCAGTGTGTTGGTTAGTTAGTTATATCCGGAGTATGTCAAGGCTGTGGCTTGATTTCGGTGCTGCCTGAAGGCCGTTTTGCCAGGCATGGTCCAGGCTTTACAGACAGTGCACATACCGCGGCATTGACAATTGGATACAATTGGTACGAACCTGCCTGACTGTCACTCGCACGAGTCTAGGTGCCGCTGCGTTTCGTGCAGGCCAAGCTGACGGCCACCTGCAGGTCTTCCATGCGTAGAACTGCAGATCCCAGGCATGGGTTTACAAAGCGACGCAGGGCCAAAACAGCACACAATCTCTGACTCGGAGACGAGGAGCCGTCTTCGAAAAGCCAAAGGCCCGAGGCCTGACGCAAAGCCAAGGGCCAAGGGCCGGCAAAGGGCCGGGGTGTGGGCCTAGTTTTAAGGTCTGTTCCACGCGACTTGGGCACAAGTCCAGCAGCAAAACTGAGCCCGCGTCAACAAATTTTGCCCAGCCCTGGGCGAAGTTCACGGTGCAGCACGGAAAGTTCCTGACATTCAGCAAGTTGTACGAGTCACCAGCAGAGGGGCTACAACACAATGCCAAGCACCGCACGGTGAAAGGCCATATAGCGTGGCATCCACACCGACATTGCCAAACACCTGGCCATCACACCTCGTCGAACTCCGTGCGACGGCACCAAGGTTGCGCCTTCGAAAGGCGAGGTCCGTCGTTGTCATCTGTCTCTTGTACAGATTCCTCCGGCATGGGCATGCTGGCGGCACGGGGCTACGCGGAAAACTCTGATAGAGCGAAGCAAGAGAGACCAGTACTTCCGAGTGACAATGCCAGCGAAGGCCGCATTGGACTGGGTGAGATACCTCGGCAGTGCATGCCCCTTGAAACTCTCAGAGGCTGAGAAGACAACATGCTAAGGTTGCTAAGGCAGATGCTGATGCGTCCAGTGGTCGTCGCTCACTGCTGCAGGCAAACTGTTGAATGCCAAGACCTCCAGCTGCCGAATTTAGAAACCGACAAAGATGGGATGGGTCAAGACGGTCAAGAGGACCTCCAAGCTGTCGGCCAGCTCCGGCCTCGCACGACCAAACCAAGCCCTTCCCCTCAAAAAAGCCCCTCAGGTTCTGCGTCGGGGAGCAGCTGCCCAACCCCAGTTTTCGGGCAAACTCTGCCTGTTCGGCATCGCGGCGTAAGCTTCTTCCAGGCTCCGCATGGACTCCACGACAACCTACCGAGGCTGAAAGCCTTTCCACGATGCTGCGAAATCGCACTCCGAACACCGTGCCGGGACTGGCAGCAGAGGCTCCGAAGTTATTCCTAGCCTTACGCGCGGCCATCATGTGCCGTGTGAATCTTGCAAAGCACCGGCCGATTTCCAGAAACCTCCGGCGATCCCATTGGAGCAAATGATTTTTGGAATCATTAAGGTGATGGTTGTCTTCGTCGCAAGCTCTTGCACACCCCAGGCTAACCTGGCAAATGCTCGTGCTGCCGCGGAACACACAGCTCGGTACCACGATGCGGCGCGCGCCCGGCGAGGTGCTCGTCTGCCCCAATTGCACCTGCACAAGTGAGACACACAGGGAAGCATTCCTTAGTTTGAAGCCTGTGTTGGGCGTCAAGCTGGGGGAGCGTGGACACATCGCCATCTAAAGACACGAAAATCACATCTGGAGTGGAGGCGGGATCGAAACGCAGTTGCCCTGAGCACTGTCGATTGCCCACTACTCTCCAGGCACAAGGTCTGCACCTGAGGCCACACCATGATATCGTCGCAGTTGGTGCCAAGCATTCAGCGATGCCTGCCAAATAGACATGGCTCTGCGATTTCGTGGTGCTGAAAGCACACCTCCGCTGCATCCGCTGCATCCGCTGCATCCATTTCGTCACTCCACAGTGCCGCAAACTTAAATGCCACGGCATTGTTGACCCCGTGGGAATACAGGCTGAACTCCTCCCGACCTCGAGCGGATGAAAAATTGCAGTTCAACTCATGACTAGAAGCTCCTTTTCAGTGCTGTCCGCGAAGGCTCCAGCTCAACGCCTTCTGGGGAAACGTCTCATTGCTGAACCATCTTTGCCAGTCGTAGCCTTGCCTCGGCAGCACAGTCCTTGCCACTGTTGGCCCGAGTCTTTGTGAACATGGTTTTGCGCAGCGGTGCGCGAAACAGCAGGAAACAGCTTGCCTTTCCAGCAGCTTGAAAGCCTAATTTCTCAACGACACCAAAGCATGGCCAGAGCCACAACTTTACCCGACAATTCCCAATCTCCGTTTCGATAGGAAACAGCCGCGCCAGCCATGCCAGCCGCCTCAGCGCAAGGCCGTCCGGGGCCGCAGCACCACAGGCTGTACCTCAAAGAAAACGACCCCAGGAAGTCCAAGCGAGAACGGCTGGAGCCTGGAGCCGTTATGCTTGAAACCTCCGTGCACCTATGCAGGTACTTCCCACTGGCAGCACCTCTGTAATGTCAGTTTGACAAGTATAGCGACGCGGCTGTGATCGGCAACATTTTTGTGAACTGGGGTTGATTGAACATCAGTGTTGTGACACCCACTTCCCATCTAAGACAAGTTGTTCTGGGGTCCATCGGCTAAAATCACCGGTTGATGGTCCTTGCATCTTAAGTCCTTTCTGTCTGTGTTTGTGGTGTTCTATGTTTCCATTCGCTCAGTCTGTTATGTTTAATTCTGCTGCGTGTGTATTCTGTGTTTGTCTCTGTGTGCTTGTCATATGTACCTGATTTTTGCATCAGTAACATGTGTATGTGCAGTTGATATAGAGTGGATACTTGTAAAAGCCCCTCAATTCAAAAACTCCGGTCCGGACAGTCTTCCTCCTCCTCCTCCTACCACCACCACCACGACTACCACTAATCCTACTACTCCGCCTCTTCCTGCTGCTGCTCCCGCACTACTCCTGCTACTGCTACTCCTCCTCCTCCTCCTGCTCCTCCTCCTCCTCCTCCGTCTCCTCCGCCTCCTACGCCTCCTCCTACTCCTACTGCTCCTGCTACTCCTATTACTCCTGCTACTCCTAGTTAGTACTCCTACTACTCCTACTACTCCTGCTACCTTGTACTCCTAAAATTCCTATTATACTCCTACTACTCCTACTATACTCCTACTACATTCCTACTATTCCTATCCTACTCCTACTCCTCTCCTACTACTGCTCCTACTATACTCTTGGTACTACTCCTACTACTCCTCCGCTCCTCCACTCCTACTGCTCCTCTTACTCTTACGGCTTCTTCTACTAGTACTAGTACTAGTACTACTACTACTACTACTACTACTACTACTACTACTACTACTACTATTACGACGACTACTACGACGACGACTACGACGACGACTACTACTACTACTCCTACTCCTACTCCCACTCCCACTCCTACTC